CAATACTACACAAACTTAAAAAATTAATTTAGAAATTTGATATTTTCCTTTTCCCACGTTGATCAAACGTTCTTTCTGATTTTTTGGTATGTAGTGCTCAAAATTCCACATGGTCTAGGTGGCCAGTATTTGCCTAAGCTTTTTCTTACCTTTTGACCCATTGATGTCACTTTTCCATAGAAATTATCAAGAATGATTCCTGAGGAAATTAAAGAAGTGGGTTGTCCAGTTATTTCATTCTTCAACAACTCCTCCTAATTGGTCTTCTATCCTTCAACTATTTTTTCCAACTGGTCTTGGCAATTATTATAATCATTTTCAGTGTGAAAGGAAGTCCGTCATTCAACCTTGTTGAACATGGACTCTCATGACCTAGACTGCTGAATTCTAAATGATGAGAAGTTTCATTGTGGAAAAAGAAGTATTCTACAAGGAAAAAAAAATTTCTCTACAAATTGTAATTTCTAGTTAATCAAACAAAGGAAAAGTTGGTTTTTTTTTTTCATTTCCATGCATTTTCTAATATTTGGACGCTAACCAAACGAAGCCGAAGAGAAAGAGAGNTATATATATATTAGAGGTAATTTGTGTCTGAAAATACAGTGTAATATAAATATTTTTTATAGAAATTTTGGTGGCCGACAAATAAATTTATTTGAGACCGTTAGATAAACTTATTAAAGACAGTCATGTTTCGTGGCCGTTAAATAAATTTATTTGAGAATGTCAAATAAACTTATTAAACACTCTAATATAATATTTTATAGATATAGCAACGTTGGTCAGGTGTGTAACGGTATATTTTTCAAAGCTAGGTGGAAAACTGCCTAAGACTCTTAAGGAATTACAATCACATCAGGATGTTTTTGAACCCACCACCATAGCAGGTTGTTTGTAAAACGTAGCAACAGGGTTTTCTTTCTCTGCATGTACTACACGCAATGCACCATCTAAATTAGTTTTTTTTTTTTTTTTTAATCTTTTCTGTTTGGACTCCTCAGAGAACATTGGAAAAATAGTTGTGTCCATATCTTAGCATTTACATACGATCAATACTACACAAACTTAAAAAATTAATTTAGAAATTTGATATTTTCCTTTTCCCACGTTGATCAAACGTTCTTTCTGATTTTTTGGTATGTAGTGCTCAAAATTCCACATGGTCTAGGTGGCCAGTATTTGCCTAAGCTTTTTCTTACCTTTTGACCCATTGATGTCACTTTTCCATAGAAATTATCAAGAATGATTCCTGAGGAAATTAAAGAAGTGGGTTGTCCAGTTATTTCATTCTTCAACAACTCCTCCTAATTGGTCTTCTATCCTTCAACTATTTTTTCCAACTGGTCTTGGCAATTATTATAATCATTTTCAGTGTGAAAGGAAGTCCGTCATTCAACCTTGTTGAACATGGACTCTCATGACCTAGACTGCTGAATTCTAAATGATGAGAAGTTTCATTGTGGAAAAAGAAGTATTCTACAAGGAAAAAAAAATTTCTCTACAAATTGTAATTTCTAGTTAATCAAACAAAGGAAAAGTTGGTTTTTTTTTTTCATTTCCATGCATTTTCTAATGTTTGGACGCTAACCAAACGAAGCCGAAGAGAAAGAGAGAGGCCTATAGCACTATATATATGGGGAGGGTAAGTGGGTTAAAATGCAGGGGCTAGGGCAAGACAGCTGGGAGTTGAGGGAGCCTTGTCGCAGGAGAAATGGCACCTGCTGTGATTTTGTAGCAAGTGCCATTCTCCTGTGACAAGATTCCCTACACCTTCTTTAATTAGTTTCATACTTAGCATAATGATTATATTTATAGGGTAACCATATTACGTTTATGTGTAGGAGAGAAGGGGGGGGGGTAGTTTTCCCAAACATTCTTAGAAACTTGTATTCTGTGTTCTTCTGTTGATCTAAAGAAACTTCCGTACTATCTTCCTCACTAGACAAACTTTATATGGTCTTCTTAGAAACCTGTATTCTGTTTTCTTCTGTTGCTCTAATGAAACTTTCGTACTATCTTCCTCACTAGACAAACTTTACATGGTCGTAAGCATTTGCAAATGCATTATGTTCCAAGAGACAGGAATTATGTTCTACTGATATGCTTTGATTTCTTTGTAGAAGAATCAAAGATTCACGGAGAAAGAGAATAATACATTTCTCTCTCTCTCACACCCCCACACAAACATATACATGCAGTCATGCACACCCACAGGCACAAGTTTTATATATATATGTGGGTAATGGGTATTTAACAAAGATTGAGAAGTCATACGAAGGTGGTAGAATCCAGCGTAGGATAACTATAGTGAAGAAGAAGGAAAAGAGGTTATGGCGGGCTCCTGTCGCAGGAGAGATGACATCAAGACCTAGTGCATGCAATATGGCCATTGGTGTCATCTTTCTGCGACAGGAATTCTTCTAACCTCTAAATATATAGCGCAATGTTCATCACTGGTTCTCTCTCTCTCTCTCACACACACACACACACAGACACCACTCACCCATAGCTACTGTTCAGAATAATGCTTCGAATGTTCACTGCTGGTTACCTCTTATGTTGGACCAAATCGATGTAAGTTTAGTCGATCAAAACACAATACTAGTGCAGATTTACACGGACTCTACTCAGAAGCCAGTGCAACTTTTTATCTAAGCAGAGACAGAAAGCGACTCGAACAAAGAAGTAAGAACTATTAAAGGTATCGAATTTCTTTATCATGACCGGAGCTATCAACCACACTGTCATCTCTTCAAATCCTGTCCTTTCCTTTGCTACTAAGAAAGTAAGCAACTTCTCCTAGAATTGGACCTTGAGTCGAATTGATGGTGTCATGATAATTTTCGTTTTACGCAGCTGTGTTTGCTGTTTCAATTAAGAGGTTCAACTCAACAGGATATTTATTGAGTTGCATCCATTTTGCCTTCTGAAACAAGGAAACAGTTGGTGGCCTTAAGTCAAATGAAACAATGCCAACTGATTTTGATTCTGAATTGTTCTCATGTTTCAAGTTAATCTCTTCTGTATCCACATGTTGATTTGCAACTGGAGTCTCTTTTGCCAAATTGATTATGAATATTTTGAATTTCGATTAAGATCATGTTCAAATTTTTGAATCACCTGTGGTGGGTGGGGTGACACTGGGGATGCTTGCTTACTATTCAATTTGTCTCTGATCCAGTTTTATAAGTATATATATATATATATATACTCAAGGATGCTGGATACAGAAGACTCAATGACACAACGAGCTTACAAACTGAATTTTGGGCAATTCTGAGAGGGCTTGAACTTATACAAAGAAAGGGCTTCAGGAATTTCATTGTGGAGACTGACTCTTTGGAGGCGGCAAGAACCCTGACTCTGAACTTGAATGATTCACATCATAATAGACTACTGGTGGCAAGATGCAAACCATTAATGAATGAGAATCACATTCCTATCATCTATTCATCCAGGCAAGGCAACCAATGAGCGGACACTTTGGCAAATCTTGGAGTGCAGCAATCGAAACCATTAATGGAGCTCGATTCTCCTCCCATCCATGGAGGCAGCCTGTTGGCTGATTCGGCTAACGTTTCGTTTTCTAGGAAGTCTATGTAATTTTATTTGACTTTAACTTTAACTTTTCTAGGAAGTCTATGCAATTTTATACACAGTATCAACACCTTGTTGAGGGAGTCCCAAATATTATGAAAGAAGAAGACTTATTGACTCCATGCCATAAGATATTTCAGGTCCCTCAGAAATCTCAATGGTCATGTTTTCCAAAAGAAAAATGTTAAATAAATTAAAAAAATTAATTTAAAAACTAGACTTAAAATGAATCACTATTATTCAATAGATAGTGAATTTCGATAAATATTGAAATTCAATTAAATTAATGATAAATATAATAATTATATCATCAAATTAAATTTTTAAAACTATGTTGCATTGTTCGGCTCAAAAAGTTTATTTCCGGTTGTTATATAAATTATTGCGGCTTCAGAGGAGTCAAAGCCCTAACAAAATATGGAGAAGAGAAAACAACTGTGGGCCTGCCTGGCAACTCCACCAAATAGAGGCCCTTCTCAAGACTATGTGTGTGTGGGTGGGTTAAAGTTAAGTTAAACTTGGGGGGGCTGCATGTGTTTCTTTCATACATCGTTGTCATTGGGTTGCTGTGGTGTGGGGCCGATGCCGTGCAACACAAGGTGTGAGAATGAGACACATAAGAACATCTCAGACGTACCTACTTATTGGTTCCCTGCCACAGATTAAGAAATTTTAAGAATACTTTTTTCTCTCTCTCTTCTCAATTCCTCTTGTCTTCTGTCTTTTCTCCTTCTCTCTCTTTGCCATCTGTCTTTGTATCTTCATCTCCCTTTTTTTTTTTTTTTCTCTTCTCTATATCTCTACCTTTTCTACTTCATTCAAAACTCTCTTTCTTTGTAATGCATTCAAACTCTAACACACTTCAATCACAATTTTTGGAGTCATAAATATTTTGGGTGACAAAATTACAATAATCATGACCATCAATTTGAAATCACATTCACAATCGTCAGAGTTGAAATAGCTTTGTTCGATTGTCATAGCCACGACCATTGACTCGCACAATGAATATGGACATCAATTTAACATTACCAAGTTTAAAGTTAATCAGGCTAAACACGCTGAATTAAATGCTTTGATCGAAATTGATATGTAAGCAACGTGAATGAATCCAATACGACAGAAAAACAACTGCACAATAAAAAAATACATCATGTAAACCAATTTAGATACACTCCACACACAACTCGACATATGAGCCATACATGATACATAAAAGTATATATGGAGGTGGGGGTGGGGAGAGTGTCTCTTCAGCCTCCCGGATGGTTGGCTGTCTTCCACAGGCTGCATTAAGATCATCACAAATAACCTCATATAAATGAGAATAATGAAGAACTAATCATGCCCGCAAGAATAATGATTTCTGGGTAACTGAAAAATCAGATATTAAGAATTGCCACTGAAAATTCAGCTCACTTGTCACTCTTGCGGATGGGAAAACAAAAAATCAGATGGATGATGAATCCACAACAAAATAATGACCTGAGCAGACACAGATGGATAAAAAAAAAAAAACCATATTTCGATTGGAATAAATCGGATCCCACATACAACATTAAAAGAACTGATTGCACAATAATTTTGTATATAACGTCATTTAATAGATTTCTCATCTCTCCTCTGCCGAACATTCACCTTGCCGAAGTGGTCCCATCAGCACATAGCTTTGGTGCAGAAATGGGAGGATCTGGTCATCATAGTGAAAAGAGGTAAAAGATGGCTAAATAGGCAGAGTACCACAACTCATCCCTTTCCTCTAAGTCCACCTCACACCTGCAAGTCCCTAATCCTGCAGGATTGTGTAAGCTCTGAGCATTCTTTACTATTACAGTATCGTGCCATTGTCCCTTTCCCCAATGAATGAACCCTATTTCGGAAAACTTGCTACTGAAACAGGTTTTTGCTAGATGCACTGCCTTGGTCGGAAATTATCATTTGACAAGAGAGAGCTAATGAGATTTTCCAGCCTCTTGGCCCCAGCAGTAGGCCTGGGGATGGTGACATTACCCACAACAGAGCATGGATCAGAGCCATTTTCCTGGCTCCCTATGCACCACCCACCAGGAACAAGCATGTCTTGACCTCGAAATAATAGTTCAGAATCAATTTTGTCAAGCACAGGATCATCTTGGTGGAACTTCCTTGCAAATGGGGCATTACTGTTGACCATCCTTTCCATGTCCTCAAGGGTGAGATAATGGGGATGCTGCTTTGGGGGGTTGTCCCATGATATGAAGTGGAGGTCGCTGTTGACTGTTGTATTGCGGAACTCCTGAGCATTACAGACAACGGTGTGGAAATAGCCTTCTGGGGAGGAGATAAAATTTGAATAGTACATAAGGACTGTCCGAGGTAAGTTGTCCCATCCCCATATACAGAAGTCGATGAAAGGCCGAGAAAGTACCATCCAAGCAGATCCTATAACAAAAGGCACGAAGTAGGTTTCAGTAAACATGTATTGGTGCAATGAACAATACCTTCAACTGGTGCAAAGTATGGATAAATTTTGATCATTTTTATAAGGACGGATCATTTACAGTAATAATTTTCCAGAATGTTTTCTTTACAACAAAAGCAAAAATGTTGGTGGTGGTATTGAGCAACAAGATAAAGAAAACAACGATATAACAATTCTATGGAACTGAACATATCAAATGCTTAGTGTTTTGTGTGTCTCAGACAAATAGGCCACTAACCAAAACAGGGAAATAAAATGGGAAAACTATCAGAAGAGGGAAAGTTCAACAGAAGAGGAACAAAAACAAAGATAATAACAGGGGAAGTAAATCCCCTTTCAAACAGCCTACACAAAACTTTATTGTTTCAAGTCGACCATTTGTAGCCGCTAGAGCTTTATTTAGAGCTCAAGATGAGCTACAGAAAGATTGTCACAGAGGAAACTATATTCTTTCCAAGTAAAATCTTCATTCTTTGCCCTTAATTTTTTGCTAAACCCCACTAGACGCCCAGAAGTCCAGCTAAATCAAATTATTTTGTGGCTTCTGCATCTCTTTGATGCCCTCCCCTTTTAACATTTATGAATTTTCATATACCAACAAGAAAGGGCATTAAGAGATACTTTACATTTGTATCCCTCCACTACAGGTCTATTTCTTACCATTTGTAGCATATCTTACTTGACTTGATCTATCTTATCCAAGAGAAGGGGGTAGAGAAAATACAAGGATGATGGGAGCGTCCTCGCCACCATCACCTAAAACCCCGTATAGTAAGGGAGTATTAGGCACATGATTTATGCATAAAATAATTGTACAGATTATCAGTCAGCTATTTTTTANGGGTAGAGAAAATACAAGGATGATGGGAGCGTCCTCGCCACCATCACCTAAAACCCTGTATAGTAAGGGAGTATTAGGCACATGATTTATGCATAAAATAATTGTACAGATTATCAGTCAGCTATTTTTTAGAAGTTCCATGAAGAAATAAATGTAAGATTCTTAAGTTAGACTTAAATTTTAACACCAGTATGAAGGAGTCCTTAATAGGTTTTACTACACTGACAAAACATATTAATGAAGTTTAATAAATTCGAGGAAACAAAATAAATTCCATTACAAATGATTATTTAGATTCCAACAAGACAGATTGGACTCGATTACTATTTAAACCACATGGGATAACTTGGTTCCATGAGATCTCCACCTTACAAATATAATCAAACTAAAATAACTAATCAGGGCAGTAAATTTCATGAAATATGCATCAAAAAATTGCAAGGCTAGACATTTGAGCGCAGAAACTGAAGACACACAATCATAAACAATTGAACAGGAGAACAAATACGAAAAAATAGTAAATCCAAAAGGAAAAATATGAAGTCCCAAAGTAATAGCTGAATAACTAAATGAAGCTCAATTGTACCTGTAAAGAGCTTGAAGGCTGTCGGCACACTTCTTCGCTGTGTAATCCAGAAAACATCAGATTTCGTAGTCATATACAACCCTGGATCAATAATGATTGGTTTTGCCCTTTGAAACCTACATAAATAGAAGCACACAATCGATTACAATAATTCCCTACCCAAAATTGCAATCAAGGAAATTTCTAAAGCAAAAAAAAAATAAAAATTACTTACTCTTTCCATCCAATGTCACTAGTATGATCAATGAAATTAAGATCCCGCGGCAAGTATGAGAACGTATGAAGCAGATCTAATCAACCAAAACACATTAACCAATCGATCAATTCATCAATGAATGAACACCAAGTCAATCAAACCAGACATAAATTCTACAATTACAGAACCAAATTGAAGACCCACTTACCATCTTGAGTGACGAGTGGATAATCCGAGGCACTGAGATTGATAAACCAATCCCAATCCCCACCTTCCTTCAACAAGATCGCGGCAGCGTGGAGGGTATTCGCCACCATTGTCGGCCCACGATACGTCACAAGATTCGCCTTGGTGATCATCCTCACATTACCAAATCTCACAAACACGGGATGGTTTTTCACAAAATTCTGCAGATCAATTCGCTCTTCTGGGGAAGATTCAGCATCCAAATGCACGACATAGCAATTGTTTGGGTGGTAAAGGGCTTGGAGTGTGCGTTTGAGCATGTTTCCATCGCCATTGGAACCGGAGATGAGGTAGGCAAAGCGGGGTGGTGGGGGTTCGGTGGAGATGGGAATTGGGTGGAGCTTGGATTCGACGAACACGGAAGAGGAAGAAGTGGCGTAGCGGTAGAGAGGGATGAGAGGAGTGCCGTCAGGGGAAGTTAGGGTTGCGAGAAACAGAAGGAAGAGAGAGAAGATGGAGCCAATGACCAGTGGGAAGATCCATTTGCGTTCCATTGTTTGTGGGTGTTTTAGGTGCATGTAATAGCTCTTTAGCTTCTTCATCTCATCCAACAAACAAATCTTACCCACTTTCTGTTTCTCTGTCCGTCTTTCAAAATGCCTACAAGAAGCTGAATCGAAAGTCTGTTTGGGAAGAAAGAAAGTTCAAAGAACTGATCTAGGAAAATGAGGGAAAATGGGGGTAAAGGCAATGGTAAGTGGAATGAATTTAGAGCTCCTCCGTTTGTAATTCGTCTTCTTCTCTCTCTGTAATCTCTAATCTGTGAAATCTTGTTAGGGTGTTATTATATATAATCTCTCTCTACAGCGGTGGAGTGTTGTTGGGTGTTTGCAGTAGTAGTTGTACGTGTCTTAGAGGGGACGACTTGTTTTAATCTCTCTGAATATTGGAACTCGGTAGTTGGAATTTGGGATGATTCACTGAAAAAAAAAATACAATAAAAATAAAAAGAATATGAATATCTAACGGTTAAAATTAATTTAATTTTTATTTATTTTAATTTAATAAATACAAAATTTATCCCAAATTTTTTTTTTTTGCTAAAAAACATTATATTTTTTACGCGACCTCAATGTGTAACAATTCAATCAACACAATCTCCAATATTAAACCACTTCATTAATTCATACTTATTTCTTTCTTTTCTCTTNTTTTTTTTTTTTGCTAAAAAACATTATATTTTTTACGCGACCTCAATGTGTAATAATTCAATCAACACAATCTCCAATATTAAACCACTTCATTAATTCATACTTATTTCTTTCTTTTCTCATCTATTTTTCTCGTTTTCTCATTTTTTATTTAATTTTAAATTATGTAATTAAAAACTAAATAAATTATTATTTAAAATATAAATATTATACAATAAATACTTAATTTTTAAAATTATAAAGTATATTCAAACACAAAATTATTACTAGTATAGTCTTTAAAAATGTTGAGCCGCACTTGCTTAGTAAGTGTTGGTCCATCTTGACGTCTGGTCTAGATTACAATTTTACCCACTGGGAGGGGTGAAGTTCATTATTAGAACTAATTACAGGGAAAATAAAATTTATGAGGAGTTGAAAATGGAAGGAAATATAAGTTTGACCCAACGCAATTCCTCTAACTAGGACTAGACTTATTAAACAATTTCAGGCTTCATTATGATTTGATTAATGTCTGTTATTTAATTCTTTAAATTGTCACTAATTTGAACAAAAAGCAAAAGATTGACTTTCCACTCGATTTAGTTTTTAGTTCACATGATCACCAAAGTTTATTAGTGTTAACCAAAGGAAAATTAAATGAACATTAAAAATAACTCAAGCTCATATGAACATGTATTTGTACTAAAAGCACACATAGTTATTATTATTGCGCTCGATTTTTAAAAATGATCCCTTCACTTCACCAGACGCGAGTCATCCTGGACATGAAAACCAATGATCAATTAATTAAATGAACTCGACAGAACTATTTGACAGTTAAGGGAGGAAAGCAAAAGATTGACTTGACTAAGTGAGCGAGTGGTTAGATAGTCCGTTTCAAGAGAGTCAAATTTCGTCATTTGCCAAAACCCTCATGAATATGTACGCATTAGACTTTTACGATACTGATACTGCAATGATCGCTTGATAATCGAGGTGGCTGTTTTAAGTCGGNGACTTTTACGATATTGATACTGCAATGATCGCTTGGTGGCTGTTTTAAGTCCGATGAAAGAGGTGAGTCCATACAAGTGAATTGGGGATTCATGTGAGTGAAAAACTCCTTCCATGTCTCAGTGAAAAAAAAAAAACTATCCTTTAATTTTGTGTATTCTAACAGAAACATCTCTCTAACTAATTACAGGAAATTCCCTCTAACTTTTCAACAATAATATAGAAGCCACATAACAATACGTGTTCTGCTAATAAATATCCTTCCCACACTGCACAATGTCAATAATGTTTTAAAATCTTAGTTTCGACATGAATAATTTACCTTTGATCTGACACAAACACTTCTAATCGTTAGATGGAACAAAAAATAGTAATGTTGTAAAACATAATCACTAGTTTTTATTAGTACCTAATAAATATTGCCTTCAACACTCACTAGGCACCCAAATGTGGGTCCCAATCTTTTAAGGTCACTCACCAGCTCACCAACCCAACCAAACCTGTAAAATGATCTCAAACCATCTTGTAATTTTTTTCTCTTAATAATAATAATTAATAAAAAAAATTATAATATTTCCTTTTTGGGGATATGGTATTTTTATACATCCTAAATGATTAGTTGATAGAGGTACGAAAGCATTTATAGTCCTCAACAATTATTGAATGGAGAGTTTAATTTTTGTAAGAGCAAAATCCACTGCGGGTCCCAATTAAACAATACCATCCAACTCAGAGAATCATTATATATTAAAAAGGGCAACTTGTCCACTTCTTGATCATAGTAAATATTAGTAATCCCCAATAAAACTGTTTAGGAATTGGCATCATCTTTTTTGAGTAAATTTCATAATTACCCCAAAACTATGACCTTTATTTTAAAATGATCCTTAAAATTTCATTTGTCTCAATTTATCTCTTTTAGTTTCAATTAACACTTTCAATTAATTTTAGAGTTAAATGACACGGATTCAAATATGTGAAATGCATGTGGGTCTTAGTTGGGGGTTTGAATCTATGTATCTTAAATTAATTGGAAGGTGTCAATTGAAACTAATTACATAGTTGAAGGGGGTAAATTGGAACAAACAAAATTTAAAGACACATTTTAAAACAAAGACCATAGTCTAAGGGGCATATATGAAGTTTACCTTATATAATAACATATCTCAATTCAAGTTCAATGAATGAGAGATACACGGAAAATTGAGGCCATGTTTCGTAATTGACCTTATCTCTATTTTTGTGATTTTATTTTTAATTTTTGTCAAAAATAAAAACAAAAATATTTTGCGTAACTGTTTTTGATTTTATTTTGTTTTCGTTATATTGGAGACAAAGACAAAAAAATAAGAACAAAAAATTTTTGTTCCAAGAAACACGCGAAACAGAAACAGGCGCTAAAAGGGATTAATGAGATCCGGATTTCGAACTCCCTTAGCAACAAAATACTTTTTTTTTTCGTGAACCTATTTAAACCCACCCATCTCTCTCTCCTGTCCATCGCTGCCTCACTCTCTCCATTTTCTCACCTTCACCGACCATATCTCCTCCTCTCTCTCACCGACGGCAGGTAAGCCCCTTCTCTTTCTCTCTGTTTCTCGCTCTCTCATCTAATCTCCTCGCTTTCTCTCTATATATATACACATAGCTCCGTGTATATATATGTATATATACACAGATCTGTGCATATATGTGCACAGATCTATGTGTGTGTGTTTTGTGTGCTGGATGTGTGTGTGTGTGTGTTATGTGTGTTGGGTGTGTGTGCGTTGTGTTCTATGGGTGTTGTGTTTGTGATTTAATTGAGATTGAGGTTAGGAAAGTAGCTCATTGCTTTCGATTTGTTGAAGTATTGGATTTTTGCTTGTATATTTATCTTTTGAGTTATTTATTATTCGAACATTCTCTTATTTCAATGTTACATGAACTGTTTAACACGGATTAAATTTATACAAAAAATTGACAATCAACCATTTTCTTATTAATTGTATGTCAAACCATTGCAGACAAAGATATAATAATCTTCGAACAATTTTGGTAATTGCACAGGTGAAGGCTTCCTGCATATTATTTCATGATACCTTTTTTTTTTCTTTTTTTTTTTTTGTATTTTGGTGATTTAAAAAGCTTCATCAATTGATTTGGTCATAGATGTTTTTTTGTATGTATTATGATGTTTCACATGTTCATATCATGGAAATTGTTTGAATTATTAGAATATCCCAAGAGAGAAACGGTTGGTTGTTAATGCTCTAATGATTACTGATCAATGCCCAAGAATGTTATTATTGAACACCCCATTATTCCTTGATTGCGCATACCAACAGAAGTTGGGCAAGAATCAACTAACTGAACTTTGTCACCATCAGCTATGCATTTGTTGAAGTAGCTTCATTAGGTATGTTTCAGTTTTTAGTCAAAGTAACCGGTTGCTATTGTCCAAGTACAATCGTGAAATAGATGTTCTAAAACTGCTTTTTTCTCTCCCCAAGAAGGGCAGAGTTTTGGGTCAGTTTCCTCTTCCACATATTACATTAGGATGTTATGTTAATCTTCAATTAAACATTTGCAACTGAGGTTGTGCTTTATGTTGCAAACAAAAAGACAGAAGTGTTCATTTTGTGTGGAATGCTGGGGGGAGAGTGTATTAAGTGGAAGGGCTATTTCTGCTATGCTGAGGCTCAACCTTAACACTTGTTGTAGCCTATCCACTCACAGTATATTCTTGAGGTAGTTTTTGCCCATCTAAATATTTTCTTGGATGCCTGCAAGCAGTTCTAAGTTAAGGCATGCCCACATCCTTGGGTGGTGTTCTTTTTGCAGCTTAGGTTGTCCAATTTCAACTAGGGTGTGACACAATTTTAGGTGTCTCCAATTTTTTTAGAGTAATAGCTTAAATTTGTATGTTTAAGCAATGTACTAGCTTTATCTAAATTGAAGAAAGTTAACATTGTATTCATGAAATAAAATCTTGTGTAATTTATTCAAAGCTTCAATATATTCGAAAAATTAATGAAATTTCATTTATACCTCAGTAGCTACGACCTCAATTCTCATGTAGGGGGTGGGTTTTGGTGTAGAATTAACTGCATGGGGGTGGTTTTTGGTGAGGAAAGAATTGCAAGGGGTGGAAGATATGTTTCTAAAGGCTGGATAGTTGGTCTGTGGAAGATAGATGTTTGGTTTAAATCCTTTTGAAGGATTAAAGCCAACTATCGCATCTAGAAGAGGATTGTTAACAGGAACTGCTCTGTTGTTGANTTTAAATCCTTTTGAAGGATTAAAGCCAACTATCGCATCTAGAAGATGATTGTTAACAGGAACTGCTCTGTTGTTGATCTATTGCTGCTTGGGATCTATCAAACTGTGATGTTGTCTGGGTGGTGTTACAGTGCTGCTGCTTGAGCTGGTTTTTGGACAACTTGATGAAGGAGGATTGGAGGAGGCCATAACAACAGTATTATTTATTCTTTGTAATTAGACTATCGGTTGTAGTATAACAAAATTCTGTTAGGAAACAAAAAATATGTTTTCTTAACATTTTTCTATTTTTTCTGTTAAACAAATTTTCTTCTTTTAGTTTGATTATGTTAAACAGATTTTCTGGCTGTTTGTGATCAAAGGCAGGGAATTGGATGATGCAAATGTTGGATCATCCCAAGTTAGTCATTGCAAAAGGAGGTGGAGGGTTTTTAGAGTAAATGGTGTTCTGCCACTTTAATGGTTCAGTTAAGGGGCAAATTGCATGAATCTGTCAGTTGCTGCATATCTGATTGTCTGTCTCTGCAATCAATCTGGGCTGGAACTGTTCTTATCTGTATCTGAGATTGATGCTACNTCAGTTAAGGGGCAAATTGCATGAATCTGTCAGTTGCTGCATATCTGATTGTCTGTTTCTGCAATCAATCTGGGCTGGAACTGTTCTTATCTGTATCTGAGATTGATGCTACTAGTCTCAATGAGTTACTAGCAGTTGGAATTGAAGAGTGTGCAGTTGATTAAATCTGCATCAGGACCTGTTTGCTATGGAAGAGGGTGTTGTCTGTTGTAAAGAGCTAGGAGTTGAACTGTGAAGATTAGAAGGTGCAAAAATGTAGTTAAAAATGGTTTTAATCATCTTGAAGGATTAAAGCCATTTTTTGAATTTTTTTTAAAACAGATTGTTTTTTGCTTCTTAAAATTACTTCTTTATCAATAAAATTTTCTTTTTATTTAAAAAAAAAATGTTCTTCCATGTTCCGGATCCCCAGTTGCATTCTAAGATAGAGTATTATTTCAGCAGTGACAATTTAATTAAAGATACATTTTTGCGGGAAGACATGAATGATCAAGGCTGGATTCCAATTAAATTAATAGCAGGCTTCAAGAAAGTGATGAATTTAATTTTTTAAGGTAGTAGCATGAAATCGTTGGGATATATATGTCTTGTTGAGGAATTGTTTTTTTTTTTTTTTTCGTGTTTTATGATTATTCATTGTGGCTTGGTTGGTTGGTGTTTCTAAAAAAAAATAAAATAAAGCATATTTAAGATAAAACGTGAAGTAATTACAAAACATGTTTTTTATTTTTTATTATTATAATTTGATAGACAAAAATGACATCCAAACATGTTTTCTAATTCATTATTTATCACAAAACAGAGACAAAAATTGTCTTTGTTTTTTATTGTTTTGAAGACACAAAAACGACCCCCAAATGATTTTATCTTTTTTTAATGGTGCTGACAGAGAGGATTACAGTTGACAATGATGGTTTATTGAAGAGAGAAGGTTAACTGTTTGAACAATGTTATTGAGACATAATTTGAGTACATAATGAATTGTCATCAATAATATGATAATGAATTTATTAATGCTACAATGAGACTCATCATTAAATACATTTCGCTATCATTTTATTGATGACAACTCATTATATTCCCAAATTATGTCTCAATAGCATTAGTGTAACTATTGCTGTTTGCCCAAGCTAAGCGATTGATTTCAAATCTCAACCAGAGATTAGAGATATATATATACAATTTGATTCCTGAATGTAGCTCTCCAACTCGGATAGCCATCAACCAAACCAAATAAATCAGCTTAGCTACTGGCCTAACTCAATCAACAAAGAGATTGACAGACCCAAGGATAGATTTTCGCACGCCCGTGATAGATCTAAATAAAGTACTCTTTATTGAGTTGATATATTTTTNAGATTTTCGCACGCCCGTGATAGATCTAAATAAAGTACTCTTTATTGAGTTGATATATTTTTGGACATAATGAGTTGCAGTTGAAAAATCTTAAAGGTTCAATACTTTCCATATTTTTTAGAAGTCAATCATTTTTGTTCTTTAGATTACATGTCTTTAAATTAGTTTAAATTATGATGACCGACTAAAAACTCGAGGAAGTAATCGATACAACCCTAGATATTCTGTAGTTAAAAAAAAAATTGCAAACATATCTCATAAAAGAAACTTCTAACCTAATTTAAAGTGTTCGACCTTTGAATAATTATTGATGATGCACAAATTAAATTTATACACCACATGTCAGATGAGCAGTAATAAATGCTGTAATTAAGATAGAGATGGAAAAGACTAGGATTTATAGTGGTTCGATCAACGTGACCTACGTCCATTTTGAATGGCTAGAGTTACAGAATATTTTATTACTTCAAGAGTCTAGGAAGAGCAGAGAGTTACAAGCTATCAGAGGGAGAGGAGAGTTGTGCTCAACTGAGTGTGATCANTTACAGAATATTTTATTACTTCAAGAGTCTAGGAAGAGCAGAGAGTTACAAGCTATCAGAGGGAGAGGAGAGTTGTGCTCAACTGAGTGTGATCAGCCCCCCAAGTATTAGTGAGGCTTACAATTTATAGTCGTCTCTTAATAGATTGGGGCAACTTAATAATAATTAAATAACTAATCTGGTAGAGCTAGCGACCTCTTTTCAATGGATGAGGTAGATACCGTATTCTCCATAAAATTCAGTAAAAGAATGAGGTGGTGGTTGACTTCTTTTAAGACTGGCGTGAATAAGACTTTTGGGATAACCTTACTCCAGGGTGACTTGGATGAGACTCTTTGGATGACTCTTACTCCAAAGTGGTTAAAAAGAAACTCTTGAATGATCTTTANTCCAGGGTGACTTGGATGAGACTCTTTGGATGACTCTTACTCCAAAGTGGTTAAAAAGAAACTCTTGAATGATCTTTACTCCAAATTAATTAGGAAAAAACTCTTGGAAACTCTACTTACTTCTTTGACGAGCTTGACTAGGTGTGAAACTTTTGGACTAGATCTCTTGGAGTTTGACTTGTAATTTAAACTAGACTTACATCGTAGGTTAAGCCCTCGGGCTTGACCCATCAGTAGCAACAGATTGTACAGTTCTTGCTTGTCTGTGGTTTGTCTAATGATGATAAGAGCTCGTTCATGTCCACGCACCTTGTGGTCTAAGTATAACGCTTGGTGTTGCTTTCTACTGCTATAAGGCTGGAGGGGGAGGTGGATACGGCGATGTTGTTTTTGGGGAACGTGTAGGTGGAGTGGCCGGCATTGATGTTCTTCGCCAGCCATCTTTTTTGAGGAAGATGAACAGAGTACTGCGATGATGAAACAGCAGCTTCGTCAGAATTGGCATTTAAGGGGCAAATTCTTCCGAGAAAGTTCGAAGATGTCTAGGAGAATAGAATAAGGTATGGGGGACGATTTTTTGGTCCTAATGGCTTGAAAAAATTNTGTTTGTGACTTAAAGACACTTCGGAGCCAAAAATTTCTGCTCTTTATTGCTTGCTAGGAATTGTACGATGCCGCATTGATAAAATTGTTTACCTTGGTGTGGCACGGATCCAGAATTGGCATTTAAGGGGCAAATTCTTCCGAGAAAGTTCGAAGATGTCTAGGAGAATAGAATAAGGTATGGGGGACGATTTTTTGGTCCTAATGGCTTGAAAAAATTGTAATATAACTTAGTAAAGCTTATGCCATATTAAGAGATTTTCCAAATTTTATCGTATTCATATTCAAAAAAAAATATTTGGTAGTATATATACTCAAACTAGAATTTATGATAACTATCCGAGGTCGATGTGGAACTGCTAAGTCACAGCAACTAGCCATCAACATGTTCGTGTGCTTCTCTCTAAGTCTATTCATTTCAAATAATGTATCATAAACTTAAGACATCCAGCCAGATATCATATTCTCATTACATTTTGTTCTCTCTCATTCTTAAAAATGCATTTTGAGACACGATTATTAAAATCTCTTCTAAACCTACTACAAACAAACTTCACCTCATGGCATGATCATCCTCATTGTTAATGTCAATGAGCTATTTCTAGAAGTGCTTGGGTTACATATGGTCTAATTAAAGGGATGAAAAAGTAATTTGCCAGATATAACATCGATAATTGAAATACCATAAATTGTGGAATTAAAACAATTTCAAGAAGGGTGGAACAATAAAACAATTAGATACACCGCCGGTCTTAACATCTTCAATCATTGATTGTGTTGCATCCTTCAACGATGACTCCGAACTGAACACAAAAATTCATTCAAAGATATATTAGTCGTAACAAAACTACATGTAATTCCTACTCTAAATTGCATGTAGCATGAAAAACAAAATTAAACTTCTATAATAATATATACAAAACAAAAAACAAAAGTCCCGTCTAGGGTCAATCCGACCCAAGTTAAGACCCTAGGAGAAAATGTTAGATTAGATCCATGACAATATAATATAGTAATATAAATAACACGAAGTAATTATTCAAATATTAATATTATTTATTTAAAAATATTTTTCTTATTTTTGATATGCGAAAATACAAATTCAACTTTTACATTCAAGTTTTTGGTATATAATTCGATTAATTGAAGTTGAATTTGTAGACCAAAATATAATATAGTCTTCTATTAATTAAAAATATAAAGAAAAAGAATTAAAACTTGTTAATATAGTAAAATAATTTTTTAAATGATGAATGTTAATAGGATTTTGAATAGTAAGCAACTCCATCCGACTTTAATTTTTAACTATTTTGTGTTTGTTTGTTGTGTGTTGTAAAACAAAATAATTAAGTAAATACTCCGACACAGACAAAAAAGCCTCGAATTTAAGCTAAGATTTGGTTTATTGCCTCTTGATTAATTGTTTCTTGTAAATAAAATCTTTCACCTATTTATAGGCCTTTTGTCGTGTCTCTAAAATTGTCTACGCAACTATCTAGTTTTTTATATAAGAACATTTTAGGTTTCTTTTATACTTTTTCTTATATTCCTTATATATTATAGAATGTTTATTTGAAGAAAGTTTAAATAAGAAACTATTTTTAAGATTCTCTAGAATATTATTTCACTGGCTTTAAAAATTAAAGAACTCATCTTAAAGTTGTTTGAAATTTTCAAGAAGTTAGGACGTGACAAAAGTAAAACTTAACGTAAGATTTTGTGTATTAAGATAACTCATTTTTTTAATATTTACATAAAAAATAGATAAGACGAAAAAATAATACAGATAATAAAAAAAAGTATTCATTTAGTTGCATTGTATTAGAATTGGCTCAATCTATACCTTGTTCCATTTATAAACTTGCATAGTTGAATTTGTACTCTATATAATCCATGTTTAACAGATTTGTTTCTTATTTAGTCGGATTTATATTGACTTGTTTATTTGAGATACCTATCAAGTTCATTTGTTTATCACATGTATCTACTAATGTTTAACACAAACTAATTTTTCGTATTGATTTCTTATTAAGTTCGTATTTCATATTTAAAATTGTCTTAAAATTACAGGCCCTAATTTTTTTTTTAAGCAATTCTAAATTTTTTCGAGGGCCTCAAATATGTGTTAAATTGGGGCTAGTCTCATCGTTTCATTTTTTTTTTGCTTGAGAAAAAAAGGTTAAATTATAGTATAACTATATATGTTTTCATATTATCCTTCAATTATCATGTTTTTCATATTAATCTCTAATTATAATTATTAATTTTATACTATCCTAATTACAAATTAATATCTTACTTTCCCCTAAACTACGTAATTTTATTTGACTATATTCAAAAATGTAACAACTCATTGATATTTTTGGTCCAAACTACTACAACATTTGACCTTTTATTTTTTTTTAATAATATGTATTCAATTCAAATAGCTAGGTGATGGTATAACATGGAAAACTAAATAATAATAATAATAATAATAAAGGAGATAAGATGAACTCGGGAATTTTACTTAATTTAAATATGAAATTATTTGTCCCTCTGTTTACTTCTATAATAATAATAATAATAAATCCCATCTAGAGGCGGCCCGACCCAACTTCGGCCTGAGTGAAAATGTTAGATCAGTTCTTTGACAATATAATATAGTAATATAGCTAAGAAAAAATAATTATTCAAATATTAATATTATTTATTTTAAAATATTTTCTTTATTTTTGATATGCAAAAATACAAATTCAACTTTTGCATTCAAATTCTTTCGTATATAATTCGATTAATTGAAGTTGAATTTGTAGACCAAAATATAATATAATCTTCTATCAATTAAAAATATAGAGAAACAGAATTAAAACTTGTTAATATAGCAATATAATTTTTCAAATGACGAAAGTTAATAGGATTTTGAATAGTAAACAACTTCAACCCACTTTAATTTTTAACTATTTTGTGTCTGTTTATTGTGTGTTGTAAAAGAAAATAATTAAGTAAATACTCCGACATAGACAAAAAAGTCTCGAATTCAAGTTAAAACTTGGTTTCTTGCCTTTTGATTAATTGGTTCTTGTAAATGAAAACTTTCACTTATTTATGGGCCTTTCGTCTTACTATGGTGTCTCTAGAATCATATATGCAAATATCTGGCTTTTTAATATATATAAGAACATTTTAGGTTTCTTTTATAATTCTGCTTATATTCCTTATATATTTTAGAATGTTCTTTGAAGAAAGTTTAAATAAGAAACTATTTTTAGGATCCTCTAGAATATTATTTCAATGGGTTTTAAAATTAAAGAACTCATTTTAAGGTTGTTTGAAATTTTCAAGAAAATGGGACATGACAAAAGTCTCACTTTTTTTTTTGTTGGAAAGGGGAAAGGAGAAGAGAGACTTGAACCTTTGACCTCAAGAACGCAAAATTTTTACAAAACAAAGAGTACCATTAGATTAAAAGTCCATTGTTGCAAAAGTGTTACTTAACGGAAGATATTATGTCTNAGAAAGGAGAAGAGAGACTTGAACCTTTGACCTCAAGAACGCAAAATTTTTACAAAACAAAGAGTATCATTAGATTAAAAGTCCATTGTTGCAAAAGTGTTACTTAACGGAAGATATTATGTCTTAAGATAACTTATCTTTTAGTATTTAGATAAAAAATAGATAAGATGAAAAAAAAATAAAGATAATAAAAAAAGTATTCATTTAGTTGCTTCGTATCAGAATTGGTTCATTATACTCTTTTCCATTTATAAACTTGCATAGTTAAATTTGTACTATATATAAGTTGTGTATAACAGATTTATTTCTTATTTAATCAGATTTTTGTTAACCCATTTATTTGAGATACCTATCAAGTTCATTTGTTTATCATCTGTATTTACTAATGTTAAACACAAGTTCATTATTTTCGTATCGTTTTTTTATTGAGTTCGCACTTTGTACCTAAAATTGCTTTAAAATTAGAGACCTTAAATTATTTTAAGCGATTCTAAATTTTTTTTGAGGCCTCAAATATGTCTTAAATTGGGGCTAGACCCACCGTTTCTCGGTTTTTTTTTTTTTTTTGCATGAGAAAAAGGGTTAAATTATACTATAACTATATATGTTTTTGTATTCTCCTTCAATTGTCATATTTCGCATATTTAATCTATAATTATAGCTATTAATTTCATACTCTCCTAATTACAAATTAATATCTTATTTTTCCCTAAACTACGTAATTTTGTTTGACTTTATTAAAAAATATAAGGACTCATTGATATTTTTGGTCCCAACCACTACAGCATTTGACTTTTTTTTTTTTTTTTTTAATATGCATTCAATTGAAGTAGCTAGGTGACGGTATAATATGGAAAACTAAATAATAATAATAATAATAATAATAATAAAGGAGATAAAATGAACTTGGGGATTTTACTTAATTTAAAGATCAAATTATGTGACGGTCTGTTTGGTTATGAAGAAAAGAATGATGAAAATTGAAGTAAAAGAAAAGAAAAGGATAAAAAATATATTTTCATGCATATATTTGATTAACATGAAAAATTTTCTAGAAATTTTTTTAAAAAATTCATTCTATTGTTTGAAAGAAATAAAAGTTACAAGATTTTTTTTTAAATTGTCTAAATTTCTCTTAATTATATTAAATCAGTCTAAAGAAGAAAATAATATGTATTATAATTGAAAGTTAATTTTTTTTTTTAAAAAAGTAGCTTGTAACCTAATTATGAGATGAGCACAAAAGCTTTTGGGATAAATTATATGATTAATCAAATTCATACCAAGATTTTTTTAAATTAATAATCAATAAAATATTTTAAGATAAATAAAGATAAAATGAGAAGTTAATTATAAATCACAACTTTCTAATATTTTCTTATGTTTTTTACCCAAAAAAAACAATTGATTAGTTGTGAAAAAATTCAACACGAAAGAAAATTATTATTTTTATCGTTTTCCATGCTAACCAAAAACATTAAATTTTTTTAAAAAATTATCTTTCTTGAATTTTTTACAATTATCCCACTGAAAAAAGTACCGGCAAAAATAGAGAATATATACATACCTCGATTCACAGGCTTCTTCGGATTCAATGTAAGATTGTCTATCATCAGCAATTGTTTCAACAGCAGGCATTCCATCATAATCTCGAGAAATTCCTGATTCTGGTTTAAACCGAAATGCATGTGAATTTGCAACCCATTGAGCTTGATTGTCTGCCAAATTGTTCTGCATCATTTGATCTTCATAATAAGGTTCCATAACCAAGAAATTAGGTCTGCTACTACTACTACCCATAATATTATTCACTCAATTCAACATAAACACCATCATTCTCGTTTGTCAGAAAATCATTCATCGCAAATGGCATTTCATTGCCTGCAGAATAATGTTGAAAAACCGGCACGGCGTCTGTACCGGTCGGATTAAGGCCTAGTTGTAACTCCGACGACGGAGAAAAATGTGGACTGGAAGGGACTTGGGTGAAGCATTTTTCTCTGCAGATTGCGAGCTGTGCATGAACATATTGAAGCTCTTCAATGGCTTGACGCAACTGATAATGAAGCTGACGTATGATTCCACAGCACCCATGAACTGGAAACTTCTCTCGCATATTGGACTCATATATGATAGATTTCATAGCCTCCTCTTTTTGTTCATCATCATTCGATTGCCTTAGAATCTTCATGATGTTGCAGACACCATAAAGCCGGTGAGCGTTTTGGAACATCTTCGGGTGGTTAGCCGGAAAATATGGCGCCAAGGCACACTCTGGTGAGCATCTCCGGCGTTGATACTTACATGCAGCACAAGCTTGACTTGTGCCACCTTTTACTGTCATTTTTTCGACTCAAGATCTAGTTCTTAGAATGCAACCACCAGTGAGAGATTATCGTCATACTAGATATGGGAAATAGTAGCAGAATTAACACGAGCTGGTAGGATGAAAATGGTTCCCAATATAATGTTATTTTCTTCGATTTTTCTCAAGAACTTTTGTTTATGAGAGGAGACATAAGTATAATCATTGAATATTCAATATGATTTACTAATTCAACGATTAAATATGAAGTCTATTATCCAAATTGTTTAAAAAAAAAAGTAATCAATAAAATCTTGCTGTTCATCATCAGTTCACAACACGTAAGGTTTGTTAGGATCGGAAAGACTGAGTAAATATTTTGAAATTCCGATTCTAATGGAGGATTTGTTTGGGCTTTGAAGTAACTGATTAGTAGTAAAGTAGTACGGAAGCAATGTTGTGGGGATGAGCTAAGTTACCCAATCACAGTTGGCCACGGTGTATTGTGGGTTTGTTGAGAAGGGGTTTTTGGTCATTTTAATTGGTGTTTGTTTTTGGAAGATGACGAAAAAGCCCCCTTAAGTTATGATTGTGAAGTAGGTAAACACTTTATAAGGTGTGCGCTGAAGCCACAACACAAAGACTTGGACCGTTGCAGAGAAGCTTGGCTTGCACCAGTGGATAAAACGTTCCTCATCGTACCTTCGAATTACAACGGCTATATGAAAGCTGTTCGTCACACGCTAACGTTGACTTTTTTTTTTTTAATTTCTCAACTGACACTTATTTAGAATTAATAATTGTCCGTGCCTTCACGAAAAAAAAGATTAAAATTCTAATTTATCATACCACCATAATAATTAATACATATTCAATCATCAACACATATCCAACCACCAAAACATCAAGTTAATCCCTACTAATTTCAAGAAATTTATGCAGAATTTCCTTTAAAAATAGATATACAGAAAAATATAAACATGTCTACAAAACTTACAATCATCACTACATACCCAAACCACCAAAACAATCATCATTCCATACCCAAAATCATCATAATTATGTATAATTAGTTAACTTTACAAAAGACGGAATACAAAAAATACACACATGCACAAAATAAAGAAACAACTTCATATTCTTTACAACTTACACCAAGTATCCTTCAATGTATACCTGAAAATATTTGAAATATAAAAATTATCGAAATAAGTGAGTCAAAATAAAACAATTGTAAATCCGAAACATAAGACCTCTTACTTTTTTCGTTAGTTGGATTCAATATAATTAATTACATTACCCTGAAATGATTTAGATTGATATAAGTAAGAATTTAGAGAGTTTGTAACAAATTATCAATTTATTTAGGAAAAGATATGGAGGAATGTAGAGACTTACAATCAAATAAGATTTTCTTAGTATCATTTCAACAGACGGTTCATTTGTTTAATGATTTCAATCATAAATCTGTATGGTGACAATATAATGGTGTGTGAGTTTGATTTGCGAGTGTTTGATTGGTTACAGTTATGTGTTTGTGTTTGTGCATGTATTGTGTGTTGTGTGTCTACATGAGAAATAGAGAAATATAGAGTCTTAGTAAGAGAGACTTTCATACCTAAACAATTGTTTGGTCAGTGATGAGTTAGTCATCGTCAAAGGTGGACAGGTCGGTAATGGATTGCATATCATTTAACTCTCTTAAATGTCTTATTCATCCCTTTAAACCTTCTTTTCATCACTATCCTTAATGTCCTCGTATCAATACGAACGCACTTTGCCCAATGAGGAGATTGCACAACCACCTAAATTATTCACATAAATAATAAAAGTAACACAATATTTATATTGTAGGAATAGTAAAGTTATTTTAATACAGTGACATAAAGTAAATTTACCTGATTACGTCGGCCCCATCCACAAAGGTCCATTGTATATACACTATCGTTCTCGTTGACAAATTCACTCCAATCCTATAAAGAATGAATCTCATTGTAAAACTAAATGTTGAAATGTTGAAAAGATTACATAATTCAGTAGAAATAAATTTGTTTAAACTATATCATTTACTTGTCGTAAGAATCTTATAACAAAACTTCTGGGTAAACAATATTTGTAGTGCAATTCGACCCATCTTCTGGAAGGAGGACTGTAATACAATCCGAAGATGTGCATCTAGATAGTGCCACATAAAGGTGTCCATGACTAAAAACAGGTGTCCGCAAATCAATCCCAACGAACTTGACAGATTGTCCTTGGGCTTTATTGATTGTCATAACATAAGTTAATCGGACAGGAAACTGACGTCTTGTCATTCGAAAAGGCAAGTCCAAAGATGTTGGTGTCATTGATATTCTCGGAATGAAGACTAAATTGCCAATTTTATCTCCATTTAATATCTGAGCTTCGATTACCCTTGAGGCACATCTAACAACCATCAATCGCGTGCCATTACAAAGTCCATCCTTTGGTGCAATATTTCGTAACAACATTATTGGGCATCCAACTTTCAACTCCAATTTAAACGGTGGCAACCCTGAAGGATTCAGCGAGTTTAAGTACTCATTAGGATATCGATTCCTAATGGTACGGTCAAGCTCATCACCTTCAGACATTTTATCTGCAGCTAAAAAAGTAATTGTCTCTCCCGGAGTAATATTCAGTGCTGCAGCATTTATATCACTGACGTCGTCATTACGCGCAGAGAGAATTGTGCGTTCAGTGAGAAAGGTTGGAGTCACTATACCAATCACATCCAATTGTGGATAGATTCTAAATATCAATTCATTTAGATTGTGACACCGGTTTATTGTAGATGGAAGTTGCACAATTTCATGTGGATTGGTCCCAATCTAAAAAATGAGAGTATAATTAGTCACAAAGTGAGATTTAATTCAAAGCATCATGTTAAAAAATTCAACAATTCAAGGTGGAATGAAATATTACCTCCATCAAGAATTTAGCAAAATTAGTATTTCGAACGTCAGTGCGAGTTAATCGCATGTTTAAACCTAGAGTCAAAACACATATATCTTTCCATAGCAAAGACCGTCTCAATGATGCACCCACAATTTGCTCACGAACGCCTTTAGGAATAACAGGCAATATTTGTCGAAAGTCTCCACCCAGGACAACAGTGATACCCCCAAAAGGTCTTTTATCGTCTCTGATATCTTGAAGGGTGCGATCGACTGCCTCAACACAGTATCGATGCTGCATAGGAACTTCATCCCATATTATCAGCTTTGTTTTTCTAAACAATTCGGCATGCATTGATTGTTTAGTGAACCCACATATTGAATTGTCTAGGGTTTCCAAAGGAATACAAAATGTAGAATGTGCAGTGCGCCCCCTACCAATAACAACGATGCAATACCAGATGAAGCCACAGTAACAACAACATGTCCATAACTACGCAATTTGGTTGCAATGGTATTGTACAAAAACGTTTTTCCCGTCCCAGCACCTCCACTCAAAAAAAAAGTAGTTGCTATGTTTTCACATACTGACGTTGTGACGGCAGTATAAGCAGCAAGTTGTGCATCATTAAGACCGTCAACATTAATTTGTGCATCAGACTGTTGTGCTTCATTCTGAAGTTGTTGATGCTCAAACAATAATCTATTTCTAACTGTTGCATTCCAATTTCCAATTGGTTGTGGCATGGGTGGAAAGTCAACTAAACTCTTCCCCGACTCATGGAGCAATTGATTAATCAAATATAAGTCATAATCTTCAATATGATCATCAGTTGGATTCAAAATACCAAACATAGTACGAATCTTGTGTGCTAAATCATCACATATATGTGCTGAGAATTGCTTCCACAATGCAAATGGATGCAATGGAAAGCATTCCGTTAGAATTATGGCAAATAATCTTCTTAATTGGTACCCCGTTCTCATAATTGCAGCCTCTTGAAGACATTGTATCCATTCTTCATCATCTTCAAGAAGTCCTCTTGCAACACATGCTGACTTGAATGTATCATGCATAACATTATTTACCGTGCGTAGCCAGTCAAATGAAGTAGGTCCTCTGACAACAGTTAGAAGCAAACGTAAATAAAACCGCTCACCTGAATTAGGGCTAGCAAAGTACATTCTACCAATTGCATAACCCCTTTGTCTTGGAGTCCATTTATTGATAGACTTGTTCCAAACAAATTTTTGTGAAAATTCCTGATAAGTTAATACACGTGCAGATTCATTTGCAGCGCAACAATCAAAAAAGCCAGTTAGAGTTGTTTCTTGATGTGCACCTTTAGAAAGGATCGTATCAAAAGATTCAGCAGGGTTAAAGACCACACGATGCATCCCAGGCAAATGAAGTGTCAATCTTACAACCGACGGAATCTCTTCATGTAAAGGATTACCAAATAATCGCCACGCAGCTTCTGGAGGTCCAATATACCTAGCATCAAGATATTGTTGGATCTCATTAATTCCTCCAAGTACCATTGTTGCGCGATCATGTCCTTTATAAATATACTTGTGAATGTATTTTACACATCTGATTCCTGCACAAACTTCAACATTGATATGACAGTTGAACATTCTTGATAAGTACGGATTATGTGGCACAACATCTCTATTATCAATTTCTTGCCCCCTCACGATGTACTTCTGACCAGTATTACGACGACGATAGACAGGATATCCATCAGAGTCCATACTTGTTGATTCAACAAATGACCGAGGGTACCGCTTGGTACACACCCCATTTTCCATACATGATGCTTGTGGATTTCGAGCACCACATGGTCCGTGTACCATGCAACCTATGATTGTTTCAAAAAGCAATGGGTCAGTTTGACAATCCGAAAATTCAGCACACACTACTCTGTCCACTTGAGCACATGTTTGAATTTTATCAGAACCATGAAGGAACAAAAGTGCATGCATGTGCGGTAACCCCCTTTTTTGGAATTCAATTGTAAAAACATGTGCCACTTTTCTACCAAAGACGTTATTTGTTTCTATCTCCTTCATCAAAAAATTTCGCTTCAACTCAAAAACACGGGCCACTAAATCAGGACG